CAACCTAAGATTTCAAGTTTATCGGAAACCACCAATAAAAATGATCCACACACTTCTATTCCAGTCAAGATACCAAGACCAAAAGAGGCATCATCATCGGGTTTTTCCTAAGAGCATACCGAATTTGTAGTCCTGAGTTTCTTGACGAGGAATGTACTTACATTCACCAAACATTCACTGAGTTACAATTTCCTTTTTTTTCATCAAAGACTGCAAGAAAAGAGCTCTTCAGTCATCAATTCTCCACGCATCAACACCGCTCCCAACAAAGTTATAATTCTTTCCACAACAGCCAGGTTGCACTAAACGTCTCAAAAGTACTTTCACAAGCTAACACCAGAGTCGCCATCGCTTCTACCACTTCAATAAAGGATCTAACCAGGACAAAACCCAAGCACCACGAACCAGTCAATGCAGGAGTTTACACTATACCTGTGGAGGCTGTGACAAGATCTACGTAGGTGAAACAGCAAGAAACCTCGACACCCGCCTCAATGAACACACATACGCATGTAGGAACGACAACTTAAACAACGCCTGTGTACAACACCGAAATTCCACCAATCATCTTATGAAATTCAGAGACGCCCAATTAGTGATAAAAGAAACTAATTTCCGCACACGCAAGTGCCTTGAATCAGCACTGATCGCTGTTTCGAATACAATTTAAACAAAACAACGGCAGCTTCACCATCTCCGAAGTCTTAGCAGAATCCTCCTGAAAACAGTAAACCCTGCCATCACATAGTCTCTCTGTTATACTACACAAAGCACAGAGAGTGAACACTGAAACAACCTGCCTCATTCCAGTTTATATTTGTCCAACCTATTTTTATGTTACCCAAGTAATAGCTTTTATATCCTTTTACTCATGTACGAATTAATTGCTTTTGTCACTACCACTACTACTACTACTACTACCACTAGTGAACATCGGAATGGTACCTCACTAGTATTCACCTCACTCTGAGCCTTTATATACCCTCTGTGTCCATGTATTGTTTGTAATGGCTTGATAAAGCTCCTGGAGAGCGAAACGTTGCCACAATAAATGTCACATTAGTTGCACTTGTGTCCTTTTACATCCTCAACCTGACAGTATCAGAGTCGAGCACACTAGACACCATCCTCAACCTGACAAGTCACAGTTAGTGAAGAAATAACTGCTTTGAAGACGTGTGTGAAGACACATGAAAGCTCTTAGGCATAAATTTTATTACTCTTCCCGGTGATGATATTGTTTTTCCACATTTGCAGTGTCTTACTGGTGTTGCCCAACACTAGTGACTTGTAAATCTTTACTCAAGGTTCACACAAGGTCTCTAGTTGTCCCCAAAACTCTGGAGATATATTGTCAGGTCTGGAGAAGTTCTGAGTAGCCTCACTTGTTGTTGCATTGATGTCTTGATAACAGTTCAGTCTACTTCAGTTTGTCCTCTCACCATGTCTTGTAGTGCCATGTCTTCTGCTGGCGTAGTTGGACGTGGAGGAGGAAGAAGGGGGGAGAGGAGGCGTAGAAGTAGAGGATGATTAAAGAAGCGCTGTATGAGTGATGGTTATTACTCTGCAGTAGAGTATAAGAAACCTCTGCCAGGGGAATTTCTCCTATATGCTGTGGTGAAAGATTTTTTTTTTTGTTTAAGTTATGTTCAAAGTTTGCTTCAGTTTGTGTGTTATGAGGCATGTGGGGAGGCGGGAGGGGGGTGGGGAGGCGGGGGAGGGGGGCGGGAGGTGGGGAGGGGGGCGGGGAGGTGGGGAGGGAGGCGGGGAGGTGGGGCGGGAGGGCGGGGAGTGGGAGAGGGAGGTGGGGAGTGAAAGAGGAGAAAGATAAGCGAGGGAGAGAGAAACATAGGAAGGAATAATTGAGACTACTGAGCTATTAGTACTGGCGCTACTTAACTTGATTTCAACACACACACACACACACACACACACACACACACACACACACACACACACACACACACACACCACACACACACACACACACACAACTAATACACTTGTTTCGGTGTGTGTGAACGCAGCTTGCTGCTAGCATCAATGTGAATGGTAAGGTTATCAGCCGGAAACCTTGGTCTAGGACCGGGACTCAGGGGCGATGGTCCCCGAAGTTGAATATACCGGTAGGAAGACTACTGGTTACATGTAGACTTCACCAGGGCCATTAAAGGCTGCATGTCACTTACACTTCACCAGCCAAGAACACTTTAATCCCTGAAACAGGGATTAAATTCTGTGTATATTACTCAGACACACACCACAGTGTATATACACTGATTTATATGCACACGTCTCTATGTATTTACACTTATACACACCTCTCTGTATATATAACATTATTTCCTAATGGTTCTGATACACTATTTCTGGAGTAAATTCATTCCAGCCCTCAAGTACAGGTTAATGGTTGGCTAATGAGGTTTTTAAGGCTGTCGACTACACGAGGGTCATTAAGGCTGCATGTCAATTGTTCACCATCAGTCAAGAATACTTTTAATTTCTAGAGCAGAGATTAAGGAAGACTCTCAGCACATACCACACACTAAGAAACATACATACACGTCCTGGTGTATATGTCTTATAATCAGCTCCTCTGTTGCTTGTATATATACACTGGTTAGCAACAAAAATTCGTTGTCAAGGATATTTGAAGGTATTTAGGTTTTTTAGGGGGTTGCTAAATTCGAAAGTGGCAGTAGGTTGTTCAAATTGGATCGAGTTTGTAAGATATTGCATACCTACCCTCAGTTAACAGGGAACTTAACATAACGCGTGTAAAAAACCATACCATGGGTGGGGATAGAACCCGCGACCAGAGAATCGTTAAACTCCTGGAGTTTTATGACTCTCTGGTCGCGGGTTCTATCCCCACCCGTGGTATGGTTTGTTTGCAATCGTGTCATTACGATTTCGTGAGTCACGACGCGTGTATATGTAGTGATAGGTTCTATAATACAGACAGTTTTAATAAAGATAAGAATTTTGTATTTAAATGGTTTAATATTTAAGGAAAGAAGTTATAACAACAACGACCACCTGGCAATATTGTAACTTTTTTTTGTTATTTTTCCAGATAAAAAAGTTCTTGACGATGAGTCTTCTTAAAGAATCCCCGAGCATTTTGCTGCAGTTGTGGCGAATGATCTTTGAAAAAACCAAAACATCACAGATTTTGTAAAACAAGGTTATCTTTCTTATTTTCGAGTGGCGCTTGGAGAACACGTCTTGGGCTCCCACATGTTTGCTACACCATGTGAAAAAAAACCAACCATACCCCGGCCGGGATTGAACCCGCGGTCAGAGAGTCTCAAAACTCCAGCCCGTCGCGTGAGACTCTCTGACCGCGGGTTCAATCCCGGCCGGGGTATGGTTTGTTTGCAATCGTGTCATTACGATTTCGTGAGTAATGTTTACACCATGTGGTAATAGAGTTGTGGATGAGTGGAACAAACTCCCGAGTACCGTCATTGAAGACAAAATATTGTGTAGTTTTAAAAATAGATTAGATAAATACATGAGCGGGTGTGGGTTGGAGGTGAACAAGTTGTGCTAGTAGGTCTGATGCCGTGCTCCTGACCTGATTAGATTGGGTAATTGGGTTAAGCCAGTGGGAGACTTGGACCTGCCTCGCATGGGTTTGTCTATGGTGCGGAGAGAACCGTGAAACCACCAAGACGATTGTTATTTCTCTATAGCTAATGTGAAAGGTTTCAATCTATATAAGAAAGTCAAGTGGGAATATCCTGACTCACGAAATCGTAATGACACGATTGCAAACAAACGATACCACGGGTGGGGTTTGATCCCGCGGTTTGGAGTTTGGAGACTCTTTGACCGCGGGATCAAACACCCCCTCCGTGGAATAGTTTGGAATATCCTGATTTGGAATCAGCAAGGAGACCTGTGCCACACAGTGAAGATGTTCCCATACCAGTGTTTACAACACTCTGATTTTTCGTTGTCCAGATGTTGAAGAAACTCAGGGTTTATGATGTAACAGGTGACAGCAGTGGAAGTGAATATGAAGTAAGCACTTCAACACCCCAGCAGTTCTCCCAAGAATTCAATGATCCGATACGTGACCTCAGTCTGTCAAAACAAGCAACTGAACTTTTGGCATCCAGACTAAAAGAAAAGAATTGTCTACAATAAGAAGCTAAAATAACAGCTTATTGGACACGAGAGGTTGAACTCCTTCCTTACTTTAGCCAAGATGAAGAACTTGTATACAGCAATAACATCCCTGAACTTCTTCGACTGTGACTTGAATATCCACCAGGAGATCGGTGGCTGTTTATAGACAGCTCCAGTAGCAGCTTGAAATGTCTTATTGCACACTGGTAACCAATATGCATCTCTTCCAGTTGCTCACTCAACAACACTGTGATCATCACAAACATAAAAGAAATTCGTACAAACATTTTCTCATATGCAGTAATTAGTGGTATTCTGAATTATCTTAATATGTTAATCTTTTAGATAGAATGAAGTGCAAGTATATATTTCATGATTTAACTTTTACATGATCTAAAAAAATAATTTCAGTGCGATTTGTAAGTTAACTCCGCCTGATCAATATATTTTTCCCTTTCTTTTTTTCAGTGAAACCAAATTTATGGAAAACAAGAGCCAGTCTGGGAAAACTGATGACATATTGGGAGTCATCAGCACAAACTTACCATAAAACACTGTAATAAGTGTTGACCAGCGTTATTTCTTATATATTCAGTTTTTTATATACAGATTATATAGGCTTCATGAAGCTAAGTTTTTTAAGAGTGTATATTTTTATGGTGGAAATGGTTAGGAATTATATAATATATATATATATATATATATATATATATAAATATATATATATATATATATATATATATATTAATATATATATTATTTTTTAATAAAAATGGTGTAAATGTTTAAATATGAGAGATATCGTTGTTAGATGTAGATGTTTACATATTTGATTTTGATACAGACTGTTTATGTTGTTGCAG